AGGGACGCTGTTCTTACCTTGATAACCGTCAGTTTGCTCACATTTACCTTTATGACTGCTTCAATGTCAAAAAACTCAGACGGTCTTCTAGGAACTGCCACCTCATCTAGGCACACAAGTAAAAGCAGAAGTTGGAGGTGGAAAAAGAAAGCTATTTCTACAGAAGTAACCTTGATCCCTGATTATTTCAGAGTACCAACTTCATCACCCTCAGGCTTCAGTGTACTGTGTAACACTTGCTGTGTGTCATTCTGCTTGAGACATTAGAAGTTTTATTTGGAATTTGTTTGCATCCTTAATTTGAGTTCTCATTCATTGGTTTTGGGGGAGGGTTGGGGTCAGTATCCTGTTTGTTATTGTAAGTTTGTAAGAATGTTAGAAAAGTTATTAAAGTGCCAAAGAATGTTTCCCTTTTCTAAGGCTAGATTACTATGTGTGATGGTTTGGAGGAACGTGGGAGAGTGGGGAGGAAGATGGGGAAAATCTGTAATGGCTGAAGTGAAAGGTAACTCTGGTAGTTGTAGGATTGGGGCCAATTCTATGACTTTGGGGGTAATTTATTGATTTTAATCATGCTACTTGAACTCCAAACAGTACAATCCTGTTAGAAAAGTTATGATATGTTTTTAAGAGTATGTTATGTTTTTGCTCAGTGCTTGCTTGCATCATCAGTGGCTGGCACTGTCTTCTAGTTATGTTATCATAGGCCTTGGTAAACCAGCTTGTAGCGAGTTCGCCACAAGGGAAGGCTGGTGTTCAAGTTACTTTCCATTCTCATTTTTTTCTGGCAGTTGGAAGAAACTTCCCCATATCTGGCAAGTGAATATTCTCATGGTTGGTGGAAAAGAGCCTGGTGTACCAGAGAGAGCACTGGACTTGGAACCAGAAGACCTGGGTTTGGGGTGGTAGCTGGTAGGCAGCTGGCTGAATGACCTGAGGCTGCTTCTACACCTGGGCACACAGATTTTGTAAGTATATATTGGTCCAGCTTGATGTCTGCACCTCATCATTTAGGTTGTATCTGGAACTTTTAAGATCCTATCACCATAAGTGATAAGTTCAGTTATATACGGCTGAGAACTTTATAAAGTTTTATTTAATATGCTTTTTTATTGATTTCAGAGAGGAAGGGAGAGGGAGAGAGAGTCATTGATCAGCTGCCTCCTGCACACCCACCACTGGCGATCTAGCCTGAAACCTGGGCATGTGCCCTGTCCGAAAATGGAACCATGACCTCCTGGTTCGTAGGTCAACACTCAAACCACTGAGCTACACCCTTCGGGCAAGCCTGCCTTTTAAAGTTGCCAAACTGTAGATATATATAAGTTGAAAATGATAGCTCTCCCTCAAACCCCACTTTCCAGAGGCAACCATTATTAAAGGTTAAGCCTGCAAGGATTTTTTAGGGTGCTTTACAGTAGTTTTTGTTTTGTTTTATACTTGTTTTTCTAATATGTCACTTTTTTTACCTAACTTTCAAATCAGTTCAAATAGAGCTCCCTCATTCATTTTTTTAAGGGATAAAACAGAAAATAAAAGCTGGGGGTGGGGAGGGTAGGAGAAATATAACAGAAGGACTGAGAAGATGCCCAAGAAAGAAAGGAGGTAGGTAGCCTTTCCTGGCTCTCAACCTACAGAGCTCGCAACAAAGTCCCAAAACATCCAGATCCTAGAAAAGGCTTGTTAAAAGCCTAGGACTCACCCCTGGAAAACCTACCACAAAAAGCTTCTTGGAGAAAAGTATGGAGTTTCAGTCGTTTTTGCCCCTCTTTGGGTTGCAAGTAAATATGTTTTGCTTCCTCCTTCACTTTTTTTATGACTGTCTCGATCTTGAATATTTTCTGCGTCAGCAAGTCCTTTTGGCTTAGTGTTTTAATCTAGATCAGAACAAACGATATTGAAAAAAACAACAGCCAGGCCGGTGTGGTTCTGTGGTTGCACGTCAGCCCATGAACCAAGAGTTCACCACTTCGATTCAGAGCACATGCCCGGGTTATGGACTTGATCCCCCGTAGGGGGCATGCCTGAGGCAGCTGATCCATGTTTCTCTCTCATCGATGTTTCTATCTACCCCTCTCCCTCTCTAAAAAGAAAAAAAGAAAACAACTGCACTAGGCTGCAAATCATCAAAAAGCATTAGTAAAGTAACTTATTGCATCATGCTTATTAGTATTAAGTGGTACATAAATTCCCGAGAGCGTTGTTCTCGTGATATTGGTAGGACATTTTTACCCCCATTAATGAAAAATTAACTTTAGCCTTTTGGGCATGATGAAAGGAATCTGCTAAGAAATGCTTGCTTGGTGTGAGGTTGGTTTTGCAAATTATAGGCCATCTCCAGTCCCTCATTCCTTCATTATGCCTATCTGCAAAAAAGAAAGAACTTGGGTTTAGGGGATGGTAGGAAGAAAATGTGAAGGGAAGGAAACTATTTTAGAAACAACAACAAACCCTGATTTTGAGGGCTACTTGATAAGATACTTGTTTTGTCTTTTTTTAAAGAGGATCTTATAAATCCTATCTTGCACAGATGTTTTGTGTCTTCAAATGATATGGTATCTTTCTAGGATTGTAGAAAGTATTTCCATGATGGGCAAAAGGATATATATACATGCTTAGGGGCAAAAAGGGTCTGAAGAACTCTTGCAAGCCCTGAATTTTCCCTTGAAAACACAGCTTACACTTATTTACCCTCTTCTTGACCTCCTGAAGCATTTCTTGGTCTCCTCCACTTTCTAACTTGAGTATCTTCATTGCCTGGAGAATTTCCCTGAAAGATAAGAAGGACTTCTTAATTGTTCCTATCCTTAAAAAAAAGCATGGGGGTGGAAAATATAGGACTTGGAGTCAGATAAGAATCCTAAATTCCAATCCTAACTATGTGGCTTTGCTGCACCTTATTTGCAAGTGGTATAATGTTTAACTTATTAGGGATGTTGTGTAGTTTTTGAGATGATATATTTGAAGGTACTAATAACTACTATTTATTGAACGCCTTTATGACAGTTACTAAACACGTCATGTCATTAATCATCACCACAAACCGATAAGAAAGACTCTCTGCATTTGATATATGAAACCAAAAAAGGGGGGGCTCTGAGAGTTTAATTTACCCAGGCTCACATAGCTAGTGCAGGCCTGAACTTGTATTCAAATCCTAGACTCTTTCACTCTAAAGCCTGTCGTCACAGTAGGCAATTTTGATACATGTTAGTTGAATAAATGAATAACTTAGGTGAACCTGTGCTTTTACAGCCATTAGGCAGCCTGGAAAGGCAAGGATATATTATTCTGTTAACAAGGATGGGAGAGTTGGCAGTACAAGGAGTAGTGGAAGGAAACAGGTTTAGTGCTTACTTTAGAACAGCATCATGGTTTTCTAGGAGCAGCACATCTAGGAAGGTGTTCCTGACCCGGTCCCCTTGAAGTTTGAGGGCTAGGATGCTACGACAAGCTTCTAGTCGTAGATCTGGTGACGCTTCATAGTGTATAACCCAGAGCAGGAGGTCTGTCAGCTGGGGACTCACTTCGCCAATCTGTCCCAAAGCTGCAGAGATTAGACGGCAGCATGTTCCACTGTCACTAAAGACTAACCTGGTTATATCGTAACATCCAGAAATGGTCTTAATAATAAATAATGTGTAGGCAGCCACCTGCTATCTTAATTATTGCAAATGCTAAACTAAGTGTTTTGTTTGTATCTTCCCTTTTGGATGGTAATCACCATTAGAATTTCAGAGATGGGTTTTAGTAGGACATTATCTCCAAAGGATTCCTAGGAAGGGTGTTCCATCCCATCCTTGCCTATTAGGATATGAGAATACACTAATTTACCTATTGTAAATGTAGGGATGAGATATGGGACAGATAACTCAGAAAACTAGCCTAGTCAAGGCAGAGTGATGAGGAAAGGAGCCACAATAACTTCACAGGTTTACCTAGGGCAGATTCTGCTAAGGACCTGCCAAAGGCTGTCAGAGAGAAGCAATGCAAAAGATCCTTAAAAAGAAATAGGAAATCTTGAGGGCAGGGTTTTACGTCTGTAGCAATTTTGAATGTGGTCTGACTTTTAGAGAGTCCTATAGTTGAAACCTCCAGAGAAAGCAAGTGTTTCCGACAGTGGTTACCTACTTGGAACTCATCCCTAATTCATTTGTCAGGGACTGTCAGCCCTTTGCCTTAACAAGTCTGACATTGACCTAGACTCAGGATCCTTAACTAAAAATTTAAAAGCAGAAAATAATCTGATTTCTCAGGCAAGGAACTTCTGAGCAGGTGTGATCATCCCCTCCCCTGCACTCCACCATTCCTAGGGAAATTCTGGGGATCATTTGTACTAGCATATTTGAGGTTGAGGAGCTGGGGCCACTCTTTCTGTCATACCTCGAATGGCAAAGGCCTTGATTTTCCAGTAAGGATCTCTCTGTGTCAGATTCAGGAGGCATTCAAGGACCTGGAATGAGAAACAAAAAGATCTGGGATGGATAGAAGGCAATGATGAGTGGAGAAGACCAGAGCAAGAATGAACCAGAGAAAGGGACCCCTCTTGTCTCTAAAATGTACTATAACTGAAAAATGACATATCAATTCTAGTGACAAGCTAGATCCTGAAGTAATACTCTGCACACAGAATATATTAGCTGAATTATCTCATATCTGTAAAATTATTTTCTCAGCTCACAGATCTGTATGGTCATACAGGCTTCTTTTGAATACCTCCATCAGGTTTTCTAATAACATGGGATTACAACTTCATTCACTGGAGCTGATCCTAAAGCCCATAAATGAGGTGAGAATAGGATTTAAGGATGTGGTATAGAGTGAAGTCTGGGCTGGCTGGGAGCTAAATGTGGTTCTAATTGATTGATGTGGCCTATGTACCCCCTTCACTTTCCTAGTTCTGATCTGTCATTCTGTGTCCCCACAGAATGGTGAGTGTACTATGCACAACAAGGGAAGCTCAGGGTAGTGCTCTCTTCCAGTTGATCAGGTAAGATGGAATCATGTTTCCTTGACTAACCATTTTATTACGGATCTGCAGGGCACCTGCTGCTAAACAGGCTGCTCGCCGAACTGCCACGAAGTCATCAGAGAAGCAGTTTAGGAAGCTTGGGAGAAGCTTGGCAGTCATGAGCTTGAGCCCACCAATCAGGGACAGGGCTTCCACCTTCTCTCGGGAATTTCCTTTACCCAGTTTGACTCTGTAAAGAACAGGTACTTTTATTTTCCCTTCTTAAACTTTTGGTGCCCCCCCCCCCCCACCAGTGCCCTTAGGATAAAATCCAACCTCTGTAGGTTCTTTCCTAGTCAGCCTTATCCCCATTAGGTTAAGTTTCACTGGGTAGAGACTCAGTTGTCTTATTTACTTGAATCCCTATTACCTAGCATGTGCTAGGCACTAAAGTATGCTGAATGACTAAATAAAAAACTTTCAAACATGCACCTTTCGGTTGCTACAGTTCTCTTCACTGCCTTCACATGTGCCATGCTTATTTCTACATTTGGCTCCCAGCCTGGAATATCTTTCCTTTTCTCTGCCTATGTAGTCTTATCCAACCTCCATGAAATTTGACCTTAGTAGGTATTTGTGTATCTTGCCTGTATAATCAAAATCATGTCTTATTTTCAAGCTCTTTCAATCATCCAAAACTGCATAACACATAGTGGAAATGCTTAATTAATGATTCTTTTCTTAGCCACATTGTTAGTTTCTACAGGGACTGTTAATTTTTTGTTTTATTTTTTAAAAAATAATCCTGCAATGGAACCTAGTACAATGCTGAGCATACAGAGCAGCTCCACAAAGGCTGGCTGGCTGCATCCCAGGGCCCCTCCTTGACACTTAAGAATAGAAATGTCTCTCCGCCTTGGCTAGGTTTACCTGATCGTGTCGTGCACTTCTTTCCCAAGGCTCATTTGCCCCAGAGCTTTGGCAGCTGCTTGTCTGACTTCCTTATTCCAGTCATTCCACATCAGCTGGATCAACTTATGTTTTATATCCTATAAATAGGTGAATAATTAGCTACCATTCATTGAACATCAATTTTGTACTTGACATTGTGCTAGTAATTTTTATCCATCAGTTTATCCTCAAACAATCCAGTGAGGCAGATATTACCATTTACAGATGACAAAATGCAGGCTTAGATTTACTTGCCCAATGTTCACAAGTTGAGTGTTGGAGCCAGAACTCAACCCAGGTCTGTTTTCCAAGCTCATGCTTTAAACTACTATGCTATGTTGGGGCCAATGTAATCTGTCTTTGAGAGACAAAATTTGAAGGTGACACATAAATAGGGTGACCATTTTGCCTGGTACTTTCCTGGGTTTAGTACTAAAACTGCTATGTCCTGGACAAACCAGGACAGTTGGCTACCCATATATTGATACTTCTCTCACAGGGGAAGGGACAAAGATTATTACAGTTGTAGTTAACGATTGTGTGAATATGTCCTAGCTGTTCTCCCTGCCAGAAACATCTCCCTGTTTTACCCCTACCTGGTATCTGATGATTTCCTACTCCGCTTTAATGATTTAGCTCAAAAGGCATCTCCTCAGTGAACTCTCCTCTAAGCATAGAAAAACCCCATAATATCTTAAAACTGCTTCTGTTATAGCTATTTATAATCAAGTGAAGACATAATATCTTTGCATCCCCAGTGCTAGCATGGTGCCTAGAATGTAGGGCGTAGTCAGAAATTGCTTGCTTACTGACTGGGTGAACTGATGGACATACTGCTTTTCTTAATTCCAACAATCTGATGTAAAGTTCTCATCTTTACCCTGTCCCCTGCTTGCTCTGCATGTCTTTTTACTTTTAATCCTGAGTGACAACTGCTAAGGTGATGAATGCGCAAATGAATCGGATATTAAAATGATACTGTTAAAATGCAGATTCTGCCCTCCTGGCTTTACTCAGTGGTTAGAGCATCAGCCTGAGGACTGAAGGGTCCCAGGTTTGATTCGGGCCAAGGGCACATGCCTTGGTTGCAGGCTCCATCTGATCCCCGATGCCCAGTTGCTGGTTGGGGTGCGTGCGGGAGACAACCAATCGATGTGTCTCTCTCACATCAATGTTTCTCCCCCCCCCCCCCCCCCCCCCCC